GCAGCTTTACTACTTTTAGTCAGTTGGGTGAATTTATTTTAATAAATTTATTTTACCAGATGTGTCTTACTCCGTTCATGCAGTTTTCACAACACTGTGTTTTTACAAATATGTTGAAAATCCAATTAATTTTTGTAAAATTGTTCTTGCTATTGAGATAACCAGACCCGTGTCATGGTAAGATTCTGATTCTTCTTGAATGTTAACTGACTAATCTACCCAATAAAGCAAAAAAAACCCCAAAAACATTTCCATTAAAAAAGGAGGAGATCCTGACAGTGATACTTTAAGAAAGGTATTTTGAAGTGGAAGAGCTTAAAAACAAATGTGTAGCCAGCCTGCCTCAGCCTGCCTATCTAAACTAATATGGAACCTCCTTAAGCTATCCTGAGAGAAGAATGCTTGTCCTAATAAGTAAGCAAATGGAAGTATAAAAGGATTAAAATAGATTCAGGAGGCAGATAATCTTTCATACATGAGTTTATACCTGCAGCAGATAAACATCTTACAATGTGTAACATCTGTATCCCAGAAGGGCGGCTAGGATCTGGAACCAACTTCCAAGAGAAGTGGTGCTGGCTCCTACCCTGGGGGTCTTTAAGAGGAGGCTGGATGAACACTTTGCTGGGGTCGTTTGACCCCAGTACTCTTTCCTGCCATGGCAGGGGGTCGGACTCGATGATCTGCTCAGGTCCCTTCCAACCCTAGAAACTATGAAACTATATGAGGAGATCATATCTTCTCCAATACTTGTAGGTTTCTTCACTATGATGGAAGGACTTACATTTATTTCTGAAACTGGAAAAGCATGTACTAGTATAGGTATAATTTTAACATGAAAATCTGCTATATCGATGCTTGATGATAGAATTGGAATAGTTCATATCTCTGGTAATAGAATCCAATTCATGAGGGAAATTGGAGATCTAGCTAAAAGACAAAGGCATTGTGAATAAGATTTAAAAAAATGGTAATCCTGTTATAGACAACACAAGATATATTAGGTGGGGGCCCTTTGCTACTATAGAGGCATTATCTCAGCTTATAGTTACAGTAAATGGATATAGGCCAAGCCAGGAGACTTAAGGATTGATATATGAACAATTTACTGTCTTCTTTGCTTGAGGGCACAAGGGCAATTATTGTGAAGCACCATCCTCTTTTATACCGTTGTAAAGTGTCCATGCATCTGCATCCTTTGAGAAATAAATGTATGGTTTGCAGAGGCCTTGTAACATGACCAATAATATCAACTGCTCCAAAAGATTAATTCCACTTATTAGGTACTGAAGTGTTTGTGAAGAGAGTTGGTTTACTAAAAGATTTAAGGTGGAAATTAAACAGCTGACCATATTCTTAAATCACTTCTGTTCTGCAGATGGATCCATAGATAAATGAAGATAAATACAAAAGGATATAAATGTATAATGTGAATAACTGGTAGGGGCTAGGAGTGTATTTTTTTAAATTTTATTTCTGGCAGCAGTTGTAAGACTTATTGGGCTGGAGGTATTTTTCCAAAATGTTACTTTGTCTTATGCAAGGGGTGGGCAAAATACAGCCCATGGGCTGGATCTGGCTCTCCAACTGATTGGGTCCAGCCCGTGGGCAGGAGTCCACCAATTGATTGTAATTAGCTTGCAGCGCTGTGTGTGGGAACGAGCCCTGCCCACTATTGCCTGGGGCAGCCTGGGCTGCACTCCCACCTGCTCCAGCCCCCGCTCACATGCACAGCTTCCCGGCAGGGCTGATCCTGGTGTAGCTGCAGCCTCCTGGGCGCTGAAGTGGCTCCTCCCACCTGAAGCAGCTCCTCTTCCTCTTCCTGCCTCTGCTGCAGTGCTCCAAGCAGCAGGTAATATGGGGAAGCTGTAGGGACGCGTGTTGGGCACCAGATGCCCAGTCGGGCAGAGAGGAACCTGCAGTTGGGCAGCTCCTGTCCCAGTGTGTGAGGCTCCAGCTCCCGGCTGCTTCCCACTCACTTGGCCACCCCAAGGTGGCTGCTCATTGTGCCTGGTGGGTGGAGTGGGTGGAAAGTGGCCAGGAGCTGGAGCTGGGACCCTGCATGCTGGGTCAGGAGCAACCTGGCTGCAGTTTCGCCCCCAACCTGGCTGGGCATCTGCTGCCCAGTCTGCATTTCCACAGCTTCCTGTGGTACCTGCTGCCTGGATTGGTGCAACAGGGGCAGGAGGAGGAGGAAGAGCTGCTGGAGGAAGGGGGAGCTGAGCAGTACCTGGGTGGCTGCAGTCGCACCAGGAGAAGCCCTTCCAGGAAACTGTGCGCACTGGCCTTGGGCTGGGCCTATCAGTGGGCTCAGGCGAGAACATGGCACATGCTGTCCTGGGTGGGAGCAGGCAGGCCCTAACCCCATGCA